AAAAAAATTGAAATATTCATAAATCATGTTTGATATTAATTTAGATCACCGAAATATGATGCAAATAGGATGAATATCATACAATAATTATTTTATTGAATATCTTAATATTTCCATTTATAAGAAATTGTAAAACAAAATTGATCCATTTATACACATAATGAAATTGAAAGGATAATCAACAAACAAATTAACTAAAAACTAAATGTAAAAATTCAATCAAATTCATAAAATCTAATAACATACCTTTAAAAAATTACTAAAATCTCAATAATTATTAGCACCTATAAAAAAAAATTACAAGATATATTTGAATTTAAATGAAAAAAAAAGTTACAAACGACTAAAATATAAAACAAAATTAGAAACTAAATCAATTCAAACCTTATAAATTAGAAACAACATCTCACTTAAAAAACCAAAGCAAATTCATATGAATATATTAAATAATAATTGCTCAACTTCACATTTTCATAAATTTTGGAACAAAAATGAAAATTCAATTAAATTTGATGAAATTTAAAGTGATAAGAAGATTTTTGACCAACCAAAACCAAAACATTAACCTACAAAATCGTGAAAGAAAAAACAAATAAATTTTAATTTCTATTCAACTTCAACATATTAATGAGCAAAATTTAAAAAGGAAAAAATGATAAATGTTAAAATAACAAAATAGTAATATAAATGTGATATACTTTGATCATAATTTAAGAAAAATTTGTTATTTAAGACCATGAAAAGCAAAAGTTGAACCAAACAAAGGTAGAAAAGGAGGAGGAAGAGGGAGAAAGGAGGAAGAAGAAGAGGAAAAATGCAAGGGGTTTCTGTTAGTTTGATATATATAGTAAAATCTAGCATGCCATACTACATGGGTAACAGTCAAAATAATTTTTACCTACGTGAAATACCATGCCATACTATATGAGCATGAATACAATTAGTCAACCTCCCATAACAAAAACAATATATAAGTTATAATACTAACAATGAAAGATATACACTACTAAAATTTTGACTTTTAGCAACAATATATCAGCAACATGGGATTGTTTGTTGCTGAAAATATGTATCAACAACAAGCCCTATGTTGCTGAAAGTCCTCCAGTACAACTCACCCTGAAAAAGCTGTCCCACTTTTAGCAATATACTTCTTGTTGCTACTTTCAGCAACATACTTCATCTTGCTGATATTTTCCAATGAATCCTTAGGGAGTTAATTGAGCTCTACTTTTCAGCAACATGTTCCTTGTTGTTGAAATTCACTTTCAGCAACAAGAACTATGTTGCTGAAAACCTTAAATATTAGCAACATATACTTTGTTGTTGTTATTCTTATCTTTTTACCAACTAAACATCAGCAACAAGGAACATGTTGCTGATATTTTTTAACCGGTCGTTGGCCAAAGTTATAAAATATATATACACACCGGCTCCAACCACCATGGGAAGCATCACCACTTTCACTTGCAGCAATAAGGGGTATGTTGCTGAAAGTGAATTTCAGCAACATTCCCCTTGTTGCTAACATTTTTCGGTCACCACACACCAACCATCTCCCACCTAAAATGAGGTCCACTTTCAGCAACATGCTCTTTGTTGTTGAAAGTTTAGGAGCACCTATACCCCAAAAAAGTGAGATTAACTTTCAGCCAAGAGTCGATTCTTTCGATGGAGAGTCGACTCTATCTGCACTAAAATGTTTCCTTGCTTTCTAGAATTTGGGAGTCGACTCTTGGTTTTTTAGAGTTGACTCTGGAACTCACAAGAGTCAAAATTAGACTCATAGATTTTAGTTTTTACTAAAATTCATAATTTTTTTAAGGTTAAATACCCTTTTTAATCCTTTTACTATTGAAAAAACC